CTTTCAAGATGACGCCAAAAGTCTCGTGGTTAACAGAAAATAAAAATATTGCCTGCCCATTGAGCGGCGAATGATATTAATGCCACAATAATGTGGCTCTCGCAATTGCCATTTTTAAAGCCGTATGGCGAAAGTTGTGAGAATTTGATTCATAGCCTTACATCATAAAGTTTTTGCATATAATGCAGTCACCATCTTCAAGTTCGTTTGAATGGATTTTTGAAAAATGGGGTTTTAAATGAACCCCTAAACAGGAAATCCTAAAAGATATCGAAAATAACACTATAGATACTTCTATAGTTCATCGCTGTTTATTTTCTTAAAGATATATTAGTAATTGTATTATCTAGTGAGCAGAAAATATCACCAGAAATCACAGTTTCAAAAATATATATTAGTATATCTCTTCAAGAAACTATACAGCGATAAATCATAGAAATGAATCCTATCTCACTACGAGATTTGTGATAATATAAACCACAATAATAATGTAATATTTAGTGAGACCCTATACCACATAAACCTTCTAGAAAGTCGAAAAAGAATAGTCTAATAAATCAATTTAAAGTTAGGACTGCTAAAAATCCGATTATTCAACCGATAAGTCAGTGATTGGCTAACACCAATAAATGGATAAACACCCCAGACCTCTATTAACCAACCACTTGGCCGAGTAAAATTCCGAAACGATAATAGTCGGTGATATTTACTGCAGTGCCGTAAAAAGTGCAGATAAAGCGATTACGTTTGGACCTTCAGCAATAATTTAAGCGACGATATTTACTGTACTACCAAAAGAAACCACTTAAACTGTTTGCCTGACATTGGCCAATGTTTTTTTTTTTTGTATTATTTGCCTGTATTTGTCATTCTGCGTTGCTTTCTCATTGTTTTCCCTCGCGTTTTTCTCGTTTTTCCCACTTGTTTTTTTGTATAATATTGATTGGTGGTGCGCGGTCTGCGAATGACGCAAATTGAAAAACTGCAAGCCAGCATAGCGAGTGGCAAGTGACCAGAAGTGGGAAAAAATCAAATGAAATACAACTTATATGTGTATATATTATTGCCCTCGCACGCTTACGAATTGCTGATGTTGCGTTGTGGCTGCTCTTGCTATTATTATTGCCATGCTATATCTATATCTGTTCTTTTAGACGGATTTTGGCCGAGCCATCTGAAAGTGTGTTGTCTGTTTTTATTTGAAATGCGCTTACGAGGGGTACATTGATTATGGTAAGATGCCTGTCAGCTATAAAGAGATGATCTTTATTAGAAATGTTTTGGAGAAATTCCATGTTTTAAGAGATTGAACTGATTGACTTGAAATATCATTGGAAATTTATATACCCTATCAACTTTAAAATTATTTGATAGGATAGGATACCTTTTGAGTATATGAATAGATGATCTTCATTAGAAATAACAAACAAATCCAATGTCTTAATAGATTAGATGATGGACTTTTATAACAGATCTTCGGAAATTGTTATATCAAATCATTTTCAAGAGTATCAAACCCTCGACTTGCCTTTATTCTTCAGATCGATAGACATAGAGGGAAATAGGGAAACAAGTAAGGCACACATGGCTGCCATTGTGTTTTTGCCCGAACTTTAGTTTCACAGACTTATATTTAAATTTAAACGTTTTGCTGCTATTTCTGTGGCTGCTTTCGCTTTGTTTTTCCCCGCGCTCATCGCAAAGTGTGAAATTCTTTGGGCAGGTGTGCATTTTTTCACGCGCGCAGTCGGCAACAAACACAAAACAACAAACATTGCGCAAAAATACAAAGCATCAAAGTGATAAGGGGGCGTGGGAGGTGGGCGAAGGGGGGTGTTGGTGAATAGTGGGTGGCATTGCCTGGCATTGACAATAAATAACGGTTAGAGAGTGGGCGTGGGGGCAGCCATACACAATAAAATTTATTATTGCCCAAAAAAGGGCAGTGACAAGCAATGGAAATTGTTGTTGCGCCAAAAAAAAACAAACAACTACAAATTCAGCAATGTGTACAGTTATCGATGGACTACATATAAAATTCCATGGCAATGCAAATGTTCAAGTGGATACGAGAAAAGGGGACTCTGCAATATATTTCCATATTTCTATCGGTTCTATTTGGTGTGTATTGCTGATGTAGCAAGAAAAGAAAAAAGTTTGGAAGGGGGAATACAAAATTCTGTTAAAGATTCTAGTACAAACTTTCTGGACATTCTCTTTAAGAACCAAATATCTTATACTATGCAAACTTTTTAATAAAATGTGTTTCCCATGTTGGTTTTTTGTCTAAAATTCTAAGAAATGAGTCAACTTAATAGAGGCCTAGCACGATGAATAAATAAAATACTTGAATATTTCAAAAATTTACAAAAAGATCCGTTTAGAAACAGGTGCAAATAAAAGTAATCATATCAGTTAAGATACATTCTGTTCCATCTTAAAATTAAATTCCTTAACTTTTTTGGGGCTACTCTGAGAAGCTCTTTAAGTAATTTCAGTTACTTCCGCTTTCCAAGGTTCTTAAATTATTTTGATAACCCAAAAGTGCGCAAAAAGTTGCCAAGGGTGGAGGGAAAAAACTAAATAAATAACCATCCATATAATTTGAACTCTTTATGCTGCAGAAGTTTGCCTGTATTTCCGTTTTGGCAAAAACAAAAACACCATTTGTAATCCTCTCCGGAGTTTTGAGTACTGCAGAGCAACAACACCAACAACTTTCCCGTTGCAAATTCGAGTGGGTGGGGGTAGGGAGGGGGAGGGGGAGGAGGAAGCCCAGAGTTGCTTGTCTGTCTGCCTCTTCATGTGTGTGAGTGTGTTTCTGTCGTGTATGTGCGAGTGTTTGTGTGATGGGTACAGGCACGTCGAACAGTAAAAGGGCGAACGAAGAAAGAGAGAGAAGGAGCAACGACAAAAACACGACAAGCGAAAAAATTGTAATAAAACTAGAAACAAGCGTCAATTTGAATGGACATTCGCAACTTTATCAAACTTTTTCACTTGGCATTTTGTGTATTTAAATCGGCATAAACACACGCACACAACTGCAGCGCCATTCCAACGGTAGCCGAGTGTGAGTGTGTGTGTACGTGTTTTGTGTGCTTGTAACTTCCAATCAATATGCGGGCGCAAAAGGAAAACAATTTATATACTTTAAAGCTGCGATTCGCGGAGAAGAAACGCCGAAAAGCGATAAGCAACACTTTCACCCTTTAAAGGCCTTTTAATCCGAACGAAAGAACGAAAACTCCCGGTTGAAATGTGTCAACATGAGGCTTTAGTTGGTTTCCAAACTCGCTGCTTTCGACCTCTCCCCCTCTCTTTCGCACCAAATGTGGCGGCGGCAAAACAACAACGATGAGACAGCATGTTGCAGTGGCGTGGGCAAAAGGGGGGTGGTGGTGTTAGTGGTGTAGAAAAGGGGGGCGGGGGGTGTTGCGCAGTGAACCTTGCGTGTGTATTGTCACTAGGCGGGCGCAAAAAAAAACACACATATTTCAAAGAGAGAATGTATGTATCTGCGACTGTGTGCGTATGTGTGTGGGGAGGGGGGGAGGAAATTATTGCACAATTTTATTTATGTTTTGCATAGAATATGGCAGGCGTTGCTCACTCGCTCACTCACTCACACTCACGCACTCGACTTTGCATTAAACCGCAACAATACTTGGCCAAGTGTGCGTGCACCCACTCGAAAACACACTCACACGCATACATATATTTCACCCATACATGTTAAAGTAGTTCCGCTTTAAAATTCATCAGAATTCTGCACGTTTAAATTTTTCTTGTACACGTTTATCGCACACTCGCACACACAGACACAGGCGCACACTCGTTGCAAACAGAAAGGCAGTAAATGGAAATATATAGAGTGTAATCCGTGGAAAAATCGCCGCTGCCGTGGATTTTAGTATTATTAAATTGCTGAAACGCAATCAGCGGCGCACAATTTGATTTTCTTTTCTCTCGTTTTTGCCTTTTTCCTCTCGCTTATTCGCCTATTCCTTTGTGGCGGCGGCGACGGCGGCGTCGGTTTTTTTCTTTCTCTTTTCTTTTCTTTTTTGCGAGTTCACAATTGGACTGAAATTCACGTGCCAAAAACGCGGCCACACACCATTTTCGGGGGCAAACACTTGGCGGCGGGTCTCGCACACCGTCGCCGACCACTTTTCACAAATTTTGTGCACTTTTCGGACAGTTTTCCCACAATTAATTTACCAGCAACGCGTCCAAATTCCACTCGCAGCTTTCAAAATGGCGGAATACGAACACGGCGGATTTTAGGTTTTAGTACAGCAAATGACGCTATCATGCCAAATAATCATGTATCGATAATTTTGGAATAAAAATAAATATTTATATCGTGATATTTTTTCACCTTATATATCGAATATCGGTATTTTATCAAAATATATTTTTGATATTTTATAATTTATTGAGTGAGAAAATCGCCACTGAAGTTAAAAACGCGAAAAAGACATTGAGGGTATTTTTATTTTCAATATTTCTCAGTGGTTAGCGGATTGTCACACAGTCAGCTGATTTCGAATTTTTATAAATGTATACATATAAAACTATATATTTCAGAACCAAAGTTCCATGGTTAGTAATTTAAGTGTGTTATTTACATACGTGTTCAATAGAGTTAAATTTGAGTATGACAAATACTTATGCTTTTATTTCTTATAAAAGTAACCAAACAATTCAACTAAAAAATATTAAAAATACTCAATATATCGATATTTTTCGGCTTATAAATATTTTATCAATTTAAAAAAAGAAGATATATTTCGGGAGGGTGTCCTCGCTAACTTATCGATAACCCATGATAACACCTGTTTGCCATCCCTGGTTCGCACGTAGGTTTCTTGAAAACAGTCGACACGGTCACACTGCTGGCAGCAATAACAAAAAACAAAGAGAGGTTTTTTGTACAAGTAACTGCCAGTTAATAGCTCTACCTGACTAAACAGACCAATTAGGGATCTCGCACCAACATGTCGGCCAGAAGAGCAACCCACGCAGGCAGCTGGTACACGGATTCGGGTGAGTAATTGCCCATCCGTGAAAAAAAAAGATAACACAATCAATTGCAATTGCATCTTATGTGTGGGTGATATACAGATGTATGTGGTGCACCAGTGTGTGTGTGCGGGTAATGAACTCTAGGATGAACCATAAAATAACTAGAAATATCTCCATATTGGCCATTCAGAAGTTCTTTTCCGGATCGGAGCCCACCGCATTGCGAATCTCGTCCATGCGATCGTAGGCTATCTCGGTGGCCCAGCACAGGCGCTTCTCCAGCTCGCTGTTGCGCCGTCGCTGCTGACGCAGTGCATCCAATCCGCGCTCCAGTTGCGTGCACGCCCTGAAGAATGTGCTCAGCTCTGGGATGTCACCGAATTCACCGGGATGCCGGCGGAATCCCTGCGTGGCGTCCGTGGTCAGCTTGTCCAGGCGATTCTGCAGAAAGCGCTGGTCGAACATTTTCTGCAGCTCCTGGGTAGTTGCCTTGCCCATCTGGTTGTTGGAGTCGTTCAGGTTCAAGTCCCGTATGCGGTTCTTCAAGCCCGTGAAGTTAACCGACTCGAACTTCTCGCCGATGCCCTGGAAGAGCTCGTAGCTCTGCTTCAGCTCCAACTGCATCTTCTGCACATCGTCGTCGAGGCTCTTGGCCGCATGCGATTCCATGAACTCGGCTCGGGCACTGCGATCTTTGGGCGGGCCCTCATAGCCCGATCTCAGCGAATAGCTGGAGGAAGTGGAAGTCGCACTCGAATCCTTGTTCTGGCCATCTCCTCCCGCCAAGCGATCTTTAGTGGAACTGCTTGCCGCCGACGAACTCTTTGCACTGCCTGCAGATGAGGTCTTACCCACCTTCTTCTTTGATTTCCCCGATTTTATGGGCCTAGTCTTCTTTATTGCCCCGAAAATGGGCAGAGGATTGGGACTCAAAAGCAGATCGTTTGTTATCTGCCTCTCGGAATCGCCAGTTGCTCTGTATTATATACATAAGAAAATGCGTTATATTTCTTAAAAGGTATCTGTTATGATGCCTGTGAAACTTACTGCTGCGACATAATGGCTGTCAGCTCATTCCGAATGCGACTCATGAGCTCATCACTGTGCTTTTCCTTATCATTATCCATGGAGGAATGTTTAACTAAAATTTTAATCTGTAATTAATAACTTATATCGCTGCAGTATTATGTCGATTTAGCAAAAGTCCAATAGAACTGCTGTTTCTTTTTGTTTAATTTGCTGCTAGGCAACGCAAAGCCAACTATGTTGGTTTATATGAAACCTTTTTAATGATTTCTAGTTAACCATGTTACTTATGTTATTTACCAATTAGTAAAGTTATTATAATAATTAAATTTTTTTGGTACCCAATTACATATTAACGTTTCCTTCCTGTTTTTCAGGCACTGAGCTTTCCAGGCAGTTGGACCGGTGGTTGGGTGCTGCGGATCTCTCTCATGGTCCTGCTCGCGCAATTATTGCTCCGTAAGTTAAAATTAGATTTAAGCAGATATCCTTATTGTATTTCCTGAAATTTCCCCAGACATGCCGGATATACGTACTGTGGTGCCTGCGGAGCGTTTGCCTATCGCCAAGTCAGCCCTGTTGTCGTGTAAGGACTTGAAATAATAGCTTTCAATCAAGACAATTGAACATTTGCTTGCAGCAAGCGAATCTTCATACTGGGTCCCTCGCATCATGTGCGCCTGCGTGGTTGTGCCTTATCCGTGGCGAAGAAGTACAGGACTCCCCTCTATGATCTCAAAATTGATACTCAGAGTATGATTGTCCAGGGTGGCAAAAACCTGATTTTTTATTGAATTACCTATTGATTTTAGTCAACGCTGAGCTGGAGAAGACTGGACTGTTTTCTTGGATGGACATGAAAACTGACGAGGATGAGCACTCCATTGAGATGCATTTGCCTTACATAGCTAAAGTGATGGAGGAGTAAGTTAAATACTTTATTTAATGAAAGACTCTCTAGTAAAATACTCAAATTCCTCCAGCTACAGGGACCAGTTCACCATTGTGCCTATCCTGGTGGGCTCGCTCAACCCCGAGCAGGAGGCGCAGTACGGTAGCCTGCTGTCCCCCTACTTGATGGACCCCACCAACCTGTTTGTGATATCCTCCGACTTCTGCCACTGGGGCCAGCGCTTTAGCTACACGTACTACGATCGCTCCTGCGGCGCCATCCACAAGTCCATCGAGAAGCTGGACAAGCAGGGCATGGACATCATCGAGACGCTCAGTCCGCAGTCCTTCACGGAGTACTTGCGCAAGTACAACAACACGATATGTGGCCGTCATCCCATCGGAGTGATGCTGGGCGCCGTGAAGGCCCTGCAGGATCAGGGCTACGACAAGATGAGTTTCAAGTTCCTCAAGTACGCCCAAAGCAGCCAGTGCCAGGACATGGAGGACTCCAGCGTCAGCTACGCCTCCGGATCCCTTGTCTTTGAGATTTGAACGCAAACAAGTATTTTAGCCACTCCACAGCGCATCTTATACGTGAATCTTAAGAATAACGTTTTTATAATTACTAGCATCAAATTGAAAATTTAAAATAAATCCAATTATCTCAAGAAGTTGTAATTTAGATGGTCTCGTTGGATAAAATAAAAGCCATTATTAATTATTAAAAATCGAGTAGAGAAATAAAGTTAACTTCAGTGAGCCATTGTAGCATTCATAAAGCAATATATATAACTGAAAAATGGAATACCCATACCCTCAGAATATCTTATACCCAATTAAACTGTCAATGAAACCACCTTGCATGTGAACTTCCATTTAAGTTAATTTTTTCTTTATTTTTCTCTTTTTTGTTGAAACATTGAAATTGACTCCTAAGCCATTTTAAATGATTTCTTGGATGCTTTTCTGTTTTTGTATTTTTATGTTTCGTTCTTTTCTGGTTTTCATTTATCGTTTCTCAGCCCTATCGATGAAATGTCTGCGTATGTGAGAGTGGGATGAATGTAAGGAGTTCAAATCAATCTGCTGGCCATGCAGCACCTCTTGTCATGTGGCTCACCACCAGGCGGCGGCCGCATTGGCGGCTCCTCCGGCGGTGGCATCCGCCGAGGGGGCATCGCCCGGTCCACCCCCAGTTGCCGTGCCATTGAGCCGCGAGCACTGCTCGGCATCGCTCGCGATCTGCAGCGCGCTCATGTTCTGGACGAACGTCTCCAGGGCGGCGGCACTCTCGTCCTGGCTGTACGGCGAGGTTCGCTGGCTGAGCGGACTGCGGCGCAGGAATTCGTTCAGGTCGCTGGCCACACTGGCTGCCTTCGAACCTCCGCCCGGCACCACCGAGGGGTCGAAGTCGTAGCCAAAGGGATCCGGTGGCGCCGGCGGCTGTGGCATTCGCGTCAGCAGATTGTTCTGGACAAAGAGGTGGGAATCTAGAAGAGGAATTTTTATATTTAAGTATGTATATGGGCTACATATATCCATCACTACTCACCACTTCCATAGTCGGCGGCCACGTTGTCGCAGTAGTTGGAACCTGGACCCTGCTGCTGCTGCTGAGGATCGTAGGCGTTCGAGGAACGCACCCGGCTGCCAAATACGCTGGTGATCTCCACGTGGTGCGGCGATGGCGACGCGTTGTTGCGCGTGAAGTTGGACTCCGATATATTGTGTATGGAGACCTGCGAAGGGAGATACAATGGATTAGGCAAGTCTACTTATAAACAAATTATAAAAAGATTAGACAACTTAATTTCGGTATTATTTTTCATTCATTAGTACGATTTTTTAATTCAAATTAAAAATGTGCACATAAAATGATTTGATCAGGATGAGAAAAATGAAATGAATGGATAGGTTTCATAGTTCCAAAAGGACACCGGATGGTTTGGGTAGTTCAAAAGGACCTCTTGGCCGTAAGACCAGATCCCAGGCCCGTCACGCACCTCGTTGTTGAGATGCTGGCCCGGTATCAAGTTCTTGAGGAAAGCGGCGTCGTCGTAGCGAATGACCCCGGTGTTCGGGATGCCCTCCAGGTAGGAATTGAAACCGGTGATGGTGGGCGGCGGAGAGTCGTCGCCACAGCTGTGATGCATGTGGCATTCGCTCGATCCACCGCCGCTGCCAGGACCTTGTGAAGCGGCGGCAGCTGCCGCTGAGAACACCTCGAAGCCGTTGTAGTAGCTCGACTGCTGGTACTTCTCCTGCAAAGGAACGCCTCCTCCTGCTCCCGCCGAATTGTAATCCGACGACTGCTGCTGCTGCTGACCATAGCCCGTCCACTTGCTGTCCTTGGCCTTTTGCTTCAGCTCACTGCCAATGGCCGAAAGACATTTTTGCGATTGCTTGGGACGGGCAATCACTGCCGCATCGCCGACCAGTCTGCCAGGACTGTTGCCTCCGCTTTCGGCGTTGCTAGGGGGAACGTTGGTACAGCTAATACTGATATTGTTGTGCGTCCCGTTGCCGCCGTTGCTGCTTCCGCTGCTGTTGCCACTGGCCGATCCGCTGGAGAAGTAGGAGAAATTCGAGGTATTGCTGCTGCCGACGACTTGGCCGCCAACATTGGCACCAGTGGCCTGCTGATGCTGCTGCTTCTGCTGCGTGGCTCGAGCCGCCTCGGCCACAGCTTCCTGGGGCGTATAGTAGTTGACATTGCTGCCAAACTGCCGGTAACCGCCCATGGCCAAGCCATTGGTCACCGCCTGGTGAAGCGCCGGATTGCGTATGGTGAACATGCCGTTCTCGTTCTTGATGATTGCGGCAGGTTGATCCATGGCCATGGGTGGGGCAACGGGTAGTCCTGCAGCAAAGTTTCGCACTGCAACGAAAGGGTATCATATGATTGCTTACATGTTCCTTATTTGATTAACTCACCTGGCGGCATCGGGTTGGGATTGGGTGGCATCATACCTCCGCCGGCCACTGGCCCATTGCCCTGGTGGAACATTGGATTGCGCAGGGTGATAATATTGCCACTGGCATTGGCTTCGATGGTGGCTGGCGAGACCGCTGGTTTTTGGCTATCCGCAGAACCATTTCCGCCTCCTCCTCCTCCCGAACGCTGCTTATTAGGCGCTCCAGAGCTGCCAATGTTGCCGCTGCCCCCACCACCAGATTTTCCACGGTTGCGACGGCGACGCCTGGAGGATTTCCCGCTGGCACTTGCCGCCGAGGCCGCTGCAGCCACGTTTGGAGGAGCAGACGGAGCTTGGCTATTGCGATTTGGCCGCGGGTTGGCCTCAACCATGATTACACCGTTGGGATCCATGCCAGCGGCTCCGGCTGCTCCGTAGTAGCTCGACAGAAGGTGCGACGGCTGCTGGAAGTGGTGCTGCTGTGGCTGCTGCTGCTGCTCGGCCAGAGGCTTGGACAGCAGTCGAATGGACTCGCTCTTCTGGCGCAACTGCTCGCTCTTGGCCGGGTCCACCTTGGTAAGCGTGATACCAGGCGGCAGAGAGAGATGCTCCACCTGCACACCACGGTTCAGCTGGTCCATGATGCTGCAGTTGGGAGACTGCGATGCCTGCTTCGAGCTGGAACTGCCACCTGACTGGCCGATCCGCAAGTGCTGCATCTGCTGGGTCAGGGTGCTGGCATAGCTTCCAGTTTGCGGCGGAGGTATGGCAACTTCGTTGGGATTGAAATAGCCCATGTTGTGTGGAATGCCGGAGAGATCCTCTGGATGCGGACAAAGAAGACAAATATGATCGTTTAAAATTGTAATAACCAAGATGACGTGTTCCAGAGGTATCCCCTTACTCACCCTGCTTTTGGCGATGTCCGCGCTTACCGCGCTGCGATCTCTTTGGAGGAGCACTCGCCTCAACTGAATGAGGGTTGGAGTGCTGCTGGACCTGTTGCTGTTGACCACCGGTTGAGGGCTTGGTCCGACCATTGCCCCGTCCACCTCGCGACTGCTGGTGTGTCTGCGGAGGCGGCTGGATTGGAGCGCTGCGATTGGATTCGAGATGCGCAGGAGCCTGTTTCTGCTTTCTCGACGATTCTGTAGGACGCTGCGACTGGCTCTTGGCAGGCGGCGCTTTTTCCTGCTGATACTGCTGCTGCTGCTGTGGCGGATTGGACTTTCCAGCGGAAGCAGAAGAAGACTTGCCTCTTGTCTGGGCTTGAACCTTCGCAGGCTGCGGCGCCTGCTGCTGTTTCTGAGGAGCCTCCTGTTGCTTAACCTTCTTGACCGGAGCGGCGACTGGTGCCGGAGCTGGCTTCGCCTTTGTGGCCACTGGAGGAGCAATTGGCTTGGGCGCAGGAGCAGCTGGCAGTTTGGGCTGCTGCCTAATTGGCGGCGGCGCTGGTGCTGGGACTTCCTCGCCGTCTTCCGACTCACTGCCAGTTTCCCACTCGCCCTCCGACGAATCCTGCATGTGCAGCGACTTGAATGGATTGTTGTCCAGCTGGCCAGGGTCCAGCCTCGACTTAAGACGCTTCTGCTTCTTCGGTGGCTCCGGCTCTGGAACGGGCGCTGGCGCAACTTCCACCACCTTGGGTGGCTTGGCAGTCGGCTTCTTGGGTGCAGTCTTTGGCTTCACACTGCACACCGAACTCTCGCGCGTGCTCTGCGGCGTCTGGGTCTTGGAGGAGTTGCTGCTCGCAGTGGAACTCGATGCGGTGGCCACAGCAACGGCTGATTTCTTCGCCTGCTTCTTGCTTTTCAGCTTGACTTCCTTTTCAGCCGCAGCAGCTGCTGCTGCCGCCGCCGCCGCCGCTGCAGCTTCTGCCTCCGCCGCTGCTGCTGCCGCCGCCGCCGCTGCCGCTCGCTTAGCCTCTTTCTTCTTGGCCTTGGCGCTCTTTTCGGGAATACTGGGCGCTGGAGCCGGAACTGCGACAGGCGGAGCAGCAGTTTCTTCCGGCTGAGCCGGACCGGAAGCCACCATGTGTCCGTTGACAAAGGTGTACAGTAGTTTGTCCTCGTGTGGAGCACTGCCCTTGGCCACCACGGTCACCTGCTGCTCGGCGCCCGGATGGGGCAGCTGCACCCGGCGTATGGTCACAATGCGCTTGGAGGGATCGGCAGTGATGGAGTTGGCCGCCATGGCGGCAATCACATCCCGTGAGAGTTGAGGCGGATTTTGCGACTGCTGGGGAGGAGCAAAACACACGGGGGTGTTCTGCTGCCCTAATCCTGGCGGTGAATAATAGGAGGTGCTGCTGCTGAACTCTGGATACTGCGAAGCTGACTGCGGCGGTGCCTGTCTAACGGTCTCGACAGCGGGAGCGGTCGAGACTCCATTAAGGATTTCCTCCAGCTGGGCCATCTTGGCCAGCTGTTGCTGCTTCGTGGGCAGGTAGGAGAACTTGAACTCGTTGTTCGTCTGCTTGACGGTGGCAATAAGTTCGAGGATCACCGTCTCCACCTTAGCCTTGGCCCGCTGTAGGTTCTTGATATTCGCCTCCAGCTCGCCGATGCGCTTCTTCTCCCTTTTCCGGCCGCCCGCAGCCGTCAGCGCCTTCATTTCGTACTTGTCGATGAACTCCTTGAAGTAGATATCCAGGAACTGTCCGCGTAGGTCCTCAAGTTCCTTGATGCGCTTCTCCTCCTCCTTGCGCATCTTCTGCTTGGCCTTCTTGGCTGCCTTCTTCGGGTTGGCGGTCTGCGGCTGCTGGGACTTGCCCTCGATAAAGTTGAGGGTCTCGTTTATCCAGCGCTGTTGGTCCTGTTCACGGGTATAGGTATAGGTGCCCAGGAACTCGGCAAAGTCCTGCATCATGTCCTCTTTGCTGTAGTCCGCTGGAAAGCCTCCTCCACGTTTGAAAGCGGCCACAGCAGCCGCAGCTTCGGCCGCCGTTGCCGCAGCGGAGGCGTCCGAGGCATCTGTATGCATCTGGAGCCGCTTGCAGAGGCTGTCCAGGCGCAGCAGACTGTTGTCGCCCTCCTGCTCCTCCTGGTCACCAATCTCGTTCAGAGCTGCCGCAGCCGCTGCAGCAGCTGCCGGAGGCATCTTCCGAGGATTGCTGGAGGACTGAAGTTGTGCCGTGGCGAACACTTTCAGGCTTGGTGGCTGGTTCGGCGGAAGGGATTCGGCCTTAGGCGGCCGCTTCGGTGGGATCGCTACCGGCGCGGGCACAGCAGCTGGCTCCGGCATGGTGGATTTAGCCTTGGATGGCGGTGCCTCCTCCGTGGACTTGGTTTTCCGGTCGTTCACAATCTGAGAGAGCTTCTTACGTAGACGGTCACGCGTCTCATTGAACCGCGCATGGTTGCACTCCTTTTTGACACGTTTCTTTGAGTGATTCTCCTTGCAGGGCTCACCAATATCCGCATAGTCGGCACAGCCTAAAGTATGGGTAATGGGATATTAGTACATTATCCAAAGAGTAATTTCTTGGCACTTACATTTGCGCATCTTTTCCTTGCTCTTCTTGTTGCCTGCCGCATCGCCATTTCTTCCTCCGGATTGCGACAAGTTCGACTCTCCAGCCTTGGATTTGGCACCCGATAGACCCGTGGTGCTATCTGGTTTAGTGCGTTTTCTGCAAGGATATATTTTAAATGGTTCATTAGTTTGCGGGAATTTCTTTATCCAAGTTATTTTCCTCTTCAGAGATTACTACTTGAAAAATATTTCAATTTATATTTATTTCTTTTTAAAACTTACATTATCTGAGAATCGTGCAACATCATGAGCTGATCCACTCCAAACTGCATCTTCTCTATGTTGGCATCACCCAGCGTAAAACTGCAATGGGAATGACAATTATAATCAACTTTATCTTTTTCCAGTCCCATTTTCACATGTCAGTGGCTGTCATGGGAAAAGGCAGCCTACTGCATTACAAATCGTCAAACTGTTGTAAACTGTCACTGATCTGACGAAAATAGGTTATCATATTTGTATAAAATGATATTTGTATTTTTATAATTTTTTTTTTAATTTTCTTAATATTATTAATTTTTTTTGATATTTTTTTCGAGATTGAAAGGCGTAATGTTCAATTAAGCAACAATCAATAGGCGATAGTAACAAAGTTGCAAAGTCACTATATATTGCATTATATTTTATTTAACAAAACTTAACTCATTAGAAAGAGGATTTTCACAAACCTAATAAATACATATGCTTGAAAACTAAAAAAAATTATAGATTTAATAATTAAATCTTTTTTTATAAATATTCCACTTAAAATCAGTCAATACAAAAAAGTATTTTTAATTTCACTTCACTAATATATTGAAATGGCAACCCTAACCGATTAATAAACGGTGTAGAGAGGCCCTAAGAAAAGCACATTTCAGTCCACAAATGTCATAAAAAGAAAATTTCAGTCCTTGCAAATTGGTATGCGGAAAGCAAAATAGTTTTACAGAAAATCAAGAAAAAAATCGAAGATGTGTATTTAAATCGTCATACTTACTCATCAGTGATTTTGAAAGGTGAGTATCTGCAGAAATAATAATATATTGTTGGAGAACATTCGATTTGGTAAGCACTTTGTTAAAAACTTACCCAATAACCTGGGCCAAAAACTGCTCGAACCGACCGTCGTCTTTGTCGCCAATTACACTATTCAGCCGCAGGCGAAGATCCCCCTTGAGCAGTTCCAGGTGACCAAAGTCCGTGCTGCTTGAGTTGAATTTCACAAAGAAGTTGGCGTAGATGGAGAGGACGAAGGTCCAGTAGGTTTTGTACACGTAGTGCTGATTCCTCAGCTCCTGCAGCTCGGCCGGACTCGGAGCCAGCTTGCGGTTGAAGAACATCAGCGAGGGCAGCGTGGAGCGCAGCTCCTCCCGCGTGAACGACAGCGGCTGGAAGCAACGCAGCAGATACTTGGTCAGCGGCGGTGACAGCTGGTTGGCCAGGATCTTTCTGGCCAGCTGGCAGGCGGAGACCCGACAGTTCTCGCCGCAGAAGAACTGCGCCTCGATCGACTCGTGGCGGTACCGCTTCCTGGTGGTCAGGTGCTGGAACACCGCCCATGCGATGTGATATGTGGTTCGCAGGGTATCGGTCTGCTCCGCCTGTCGCCGGAACACCGATCCGCTGCTGCTGCCGCCGCTTCCGGATGGTGACTCATCCTCCGGGAGATCGCTGGAGCGTCGCTGCTGCTGCTGCGCGGCGGAAGAGCTCGAGGTGGCCGCCATAGCCGCATTGTGCTTAGCCTCGTCACTGGTGCAGGTGCTGAGGATCTTGGACTTCATCAGCTTCGGATCCTTCTCGACAATGCCGAGCGTTGTGCACTTGGCACAATGGCCCGCTTGTCGCGGTCGCAAAGGAGTGCCGGCGATGGAGCAAGTTATGCATTTACAGTTCCTGCCGGAAGAGAAATATGTAAGTTAAAGATCTTTAAGAGTTTTTGAAAAACTGTTATTCAAGAGATATTGAATACAATCTTTCCTAGCTTTTTTATTGATTGATTTGGATATAGTATCCGCTTGTAGATAACAATTTGTATACACATCTTTAGATCTCCAGACAACCGCAACTTACTCGTTATGGTGCTCGAGAAGCGAATTGCACTTCTTGCAGAGATCCTCGTGCACCAACTTATTGGGCGGATCGTAGAAACCGTCGGGCCACTTCAGCTTCGTGAAGGCCATGATGTTCTTCCAGGCCAGCTGGCGATCCACGATGCGCTGGAAGTCGATGAACTCATCGTCGCTGATGTCCGGCAGCGAGAACGAGGTGGCGTCCAGGACGACCTTGTCGAATATGTTGTACACATCCAGCAGGCCCATCCGGCGCTCGTGCTCCGTGGGCGACAAGTTGAACTTGTTCAGCTCGATCCAGATGTCCGTCCAGCGCCGCTCGATAGAGTGCATGTGCTCGTCGAACAGCATGTACCTCTTGATTAGCGCCGTCGTCTGGGCCGATGGAGCCGCCTCCTTCAAGGACAGGATGCAGGCCAGCATGGTATCCGCCAGGGGCGTGAACACATGTTGCTGGAACAGACGTTGGCACAGGAGCACCCACGAGAGCTTGAACTTGCGCAGGAAATCGTTCTCAAACGCAAACAGGCTGAGGGAGATCTTCTGCGAGATGCAATTCAGATCGGAGTAACCGTCAAGAATGTCTGAAAGGGATTAAATGGAAAAGAGATTCATTAAATAAATAGGTAAGTGCAATTTTGGATCCTTAAATTAATTTAATCTTAATTTTCACCCATATATCATGGAAATTAATTCTTATATTGCTCTTACATGTCAGCATCCTCTCTGCGGAAATCTTCTCGTTCTCCTGAATATTCTGGGCGATCTCGATCATGCCCTCGGAGAATGCCTTCACAATGCATTCCACATTATAGGCGAGTATTTGTAGCAGCAACATCGGATTGTTGGCCATCAAGCTGGAATCGAATTCAAGGCTTATAAGCATGGAGTAAACAATACTGGTTTTCAGTGTTTACTTACATGGCGCTGAATAGCACTAATATCATATTATCGGAGATCGCTGTGTCATCAATAAAATCAAGATATTCGGCATTCTTATCGTAGAGATAGCCGCTAGTAATCCAATAGATCTCCTTGTTGCATTCAAGCAGCTTCTCAAACTTATTGTAGGCAGCATCGTTTCTGTAAAAAAGATGTTTGAGTATTTCATTAATTCCATTTATTAGATCGCTTTAATATATAAGACAGTCCTTACTTCAACATGGGGCTGTAGGCCTTGATCAGTACGTCCAGCAACATGACCACCATGTGCGCAGCCTTAAATTGATCCATCATGATGGCCATGATGGTTTCGCGGTATTCGAGACATTCCTTGCAGGAACAAAATGTGAAGAACTCCTCCTTCCGGTGTTTCACAAATATGAAGGCAAGATTCTGGAAATATAGCTACAATGGATTAGGAGTACGTTTTATTTAAAGAGCTCTATATTTCAGGCAAACGCACCGTAATTGCACGCAGCTGTCCGTCGGCGTCACGCAGCGGATTCTTCGGATCCTCAGAGAAGAGACGCATGTTCTCAATGGCCATCTGAAAAAGTGACAATTTGAGTAAGTAAACTTTTATTTATGAAGTGAGACGCCTTTCAAAAATTGTTGATCTTTTTATTTTAAGAATAAACCACATTAAAAAAGATATTTTGATAGAATTATACAGTTCAGTCGGTCTGGTTTTTCTCGCTTATTTCGTTGTGTAGGAATATTGTATAGTTACTTTGAAAGACTCACGGAAAATAGAATACAAAATATGTTTCTTTAATTAAGCTCATTTTAATCCATTTAAGTATTGAGATAGACACACTCATATGGAATCTAAGGAACTAGGCAACGAGTAAATATATTTAAAATGTAGAAGACCTATCCAATAAGCCAATTTTTTCTATTTCTAGACCTAATTATGATGAAAAATCGATCCCAATAACTAGTGTTGGCCAGTCCTGACAAGTAAAAACATACCTTTCTACTTATTTTATTATTCATACTATCATAATAATCCAATAATAATAAATAGTAAAAGTAATTCTTATTCTACTTCCGTGTTTCCTCAGACCTATAACTGTGCAACCCAACAAATACTATCCAATTCCCTTTGGCAAACCCACCAAGTACGACCGCGTCTCATCGTTGGGATCGCCGCCCTTGTGCTCGCACTCGTGGAGCAGCTTGTCGCTGAGCTCCAGCTCGATGGCGTTGTCCTCCCGCTGGCTCCACTGCATCAGCGACACCACCTCCTTGTAGACCGTCTCCGCCTTGGGGGCGGGGGCATAAGGATCGAAGGGAGGCAGTGCGAGGATCGTGTGCAGCGTGTTGATGATGTTGCCCTCGGGAAAGTTGAGCCGCTCCAGGAGATGGCATGGCGGTGAGCTGCTCCGTGCCGGCTTCGCCTGTTGGACACCAGCAGGCGGTGGCGACGGATTCAACTGGGAAGTGGAGCAGGATGTGGCATCCGCCTCCGCATCCGCATCTACATCAACATCTGCGTCCGCATCCACGTCCATGGCGGACAGGGACATCACATGGCAGCAGGGAGGGGTATCCTCCCCCGATGGCAGTTCGCCATTTACCAGCGGCTCATCCGCATCCGTTTCTTTGGTGTGCGCCACCTGATCGGCCATTTCACGGGGTTTCACACGGCGGGGGCGGGGGATTAGCCCAACCAACTCTCAATCCCCGGATCCGGATCACTTGTTAGTCTTTGGTGCTTCTGCTGGCCAAATCCGCGTATGCGCGACGCATTATTATATACGAAATCACAGATGTAGATGCACTTTCACTCGTTCACTGTATGCGCGCGCGTGTCTGTGTGTGTGTGCTGGTGTTGGCGTGTGAGTGTGGGGATTGGATTGGTTTGGTTTTTGGATTCGGAATCGAAATCGGTTTGGAAAAGAACGCAACGCGCTTCGCCCCTCGAAACGCGCCAAGTGCGCCTCTGCTTTCGCGCTTTTCACTGGCGTGCCATCCGATTTTCCGGGTCTTCGTACCGTTGCCTCGCAGCTCAGTTTCCGTTCCGTTTGCACCCACGATTGTTGTGATTTTCCGCTTTTTGTGATTTTTCGCCTGCTCGTTGCAATTCGTTCGTTTTCTCGTTGCAATTGGAGCGGTGTGACCGTGGCGCCGGCGAGTCGGTACACCATAACGCGAGGCGGGGGCACTGGGATTTAATGGTCACACTGATTTGCACCTGCTTTTTGGTGGGCAATTAGATTTACACGTTTTTTCCGGGTCTGTGGGCTGTAATTATTAACTTAGTGCCTCAGTGGGCGTATATATGATTCTAGGATCATACAGGTGTCAAGCGAACTTCGCGCGCAAAATTCGATCGTTCCTAGATGAACAGCGTTGCCAGACTTTCACCGGAAATGACCGTTATTTACGATTTCAAAATTCCGTAACTAATGAAAATTATAGCCTATTTGAATGGATTTGATATTTAAACAACACATACAAGAACTGTTAACAGTTTCCGAAAGAAGTAAATAAAGTTGTTTAAATACACAGGTAGGCAACTTAGTAGTAAAATACATAGTATAAGCTAAATTAACTAATGTTATGTCTTTTTCTTTGTTATACGACCGAATGTCGGATCTCTCTGATTAAATAAACAATAGAGTAATAATAATAATGTTTAATCCTTATCATATGTATATACTGTAATTAAAAATTGGTTATCTTATTTGTACATAAATTTCAAGTCTAAACTTAAGTTTAGTTAGTTAAATCAGGTTGATCTAAAACATTAGGGAGCTCCCTGAAAGGGTATACAAAAGTCTCAATTTTTTTAAAACTCACATCGCACAATTGTAATCGGTATTATCTATCGGCTCCTTGGCAACCCTACCCGAATTTCGTAATTCGAAACGAACTGCTGCGATTTCCACCGGCGAGCAGAAAATGTCCGCAGCGACGGATCAGGACCCCGTGGAACTGATGCTAAAGAAGACGGGCTGCATAGAGCTTCACTACAAGGTGCAGGAGTGCATCGCCGAGACGGGCGACTGGAGGGCTTGCCAGGACAAGGTCAAGGAGTTCCGCGCGTGCATGCAGAAGTACGTGGAGCAGCAGAGCCAGAAGTATGCCCACGTCAAGTAACCTCCTACAGAAGTTCCTCAGCAACGGTTTGTCCTTCGGCAAGTCCACCAAACTGGCGCTGGTGGTTCGTTCCGACCTCAAGATGTCCAAGGGAAAGACGGCGGCCCAGTGCGCCCATGCGGCGGTTATGTGCTACCAGAGCTCTGTCCAGGGGACCAAACTGCAAAACGCCATCCTGCAGCGATGGTGTCTCGTGGGACAGCCAAAGATCGTGCTGCGAGTGGACAACTTCGAGGAGCTGAGATCGCTGGAACAAAAGGCCCAGGAGGCAAACGTGGTGGCCGCTTTGGTGAGGGATGCTGGGCGCACTCAACTGGAATCGGGAACGGCCACGGTCCTCGGGTTGGGCCCTGCTCCTGCCGAGGATCTGGATAAACTGGTGGCGCATTTGAAGCTTTTGTAAACTCTTAGGTTTATGCAACGTTACAAATAAAGTACAAGTAATTAACAACAGCTTATGAGGTGGTCTTCTTGCCCTTGGAAACCGTGGAGATGGTGAGGGACACCGCCTGGCCGAACATCTCCACGAGGTCCGAGGTAACCCGCTCCGTGATCTGTCGCAGTTTTCCATTGCCTTCGCCGCAGATTAGTCGTTCGATTCGCGTGGTGGGGCACTGAACTTGCACGGAGGTGTAGATCACATCTGAAAGAAACGAATGAGGGATTAAAATGAGTCTGTAGTAGGCATTAGAGTTCTGCTCACGTTTCTCCACACTGTAGTACTCCAGTTCGCACTTGAGGTTGTAGGGGATCTCCTGCGGCAAGTAGTCCAGCAGGCGGGCTCGCACGCTCTCCACAATCTGAGCTTCCGGGCTTGTGTCGGTCCGTATGTCGGCTGGGTATTTCCAAGACCTCTGCTTGGCTTGGCCCACCAGGTAGTTTTGCAGTTCCGGCAGGCCATTGCCCGTCAGGGCGGACACGAGAAACACGTCGCTGAAGTGGCTCCAGCTTGACTCCTTCTTGTTGATCCTCAACTCCTTGGCCAGGGGGTCCACTGCTGCAGCTCCTCGCTTGCCCGCAGTCAACGTATCGTTAGTGAGGGTTTTGATCATATCCAGTAGCAGGCGCTTCGACTTGAGGGCGTCTATCTTGTTGAGAACCAGGAAGCTGGGCAAATTGCTGTAGGCCTTGAGCGTGTCCAGAACAGTAGGATGCAGTTCCTTCCTTGTCCAGCCATTCGAGGCATCGTGCACCACTGCAATGATGTCGGCATGCTGAATGGCATGGCGATAGGCGCTCTTGAAGCTCTGGTCCAAGTGGTGCCGCCGAATCTCGTGCTGGGTCACCAATCCAGGAGTGTCGTAGAAGACCAACTGCGTCTGGCCAGTGGTGCAGATGGCCGTGTTCGACTGACGGGTGGTGTGCACCTTGGCCGAGGTGGGACACACTCGGTGGTTGACCGTGTTGTTGATGAACGTGCTCTTGCCCACATTGGGCACTCCGATTACCGCGATGTGCAGCGATCGCTGTTCCTCCCCAGGATTTCCGGAATCGACTGGCGGTGGTCGTGGGGTTGGAGCCACTGCATCATTGGTTTGGGCGGCTCCGGTCAAGCTGCGCACGTTGATAACCAATACATTGTGGGGTTTTGTGCTATTCAGCAACTTTAAGGCACTGGCAATCAAGTTATACCGCATTTTGCTAAGCTTTACTGAAATTTAAAGCCTATTTCAACTACGGTGTAGTTATGGGGTGATGAGGGTTTTTGTTGTGGATATCGATGGGCGGTCAACAGAGAGGAACTGTTTACATCACAACAACAACCCTGATACCGATACAACTATCGATTTTCATGAGTAATCGAATATCACTCGTTGGTTTTATTTTTCTTGGCGCCAAATTCGTTACATTTGCTTTAACTTTTAAATATTTTTATGGTTTCTAAATCAATTTTGTTTCATGTTTTAGCTTCAAACGAAAAGGTTATGTTATGTTTTGATTATAACTTATTTATAAAAAGTGTTCGAGAGGAGTTCACCTATTTTTCTTCAATCGTCAATAAAAAAGTTTTATAGTAAAAAAAGTGTTTAAATGCAAAGCATGCAAATGTAAATACATATAATACTTCGTGAATTCACAAGCTGTGCTTTAACCTCGTTTTTCACATTTTTAAAGTAGACTTACTTTCATTGAGCGAAAAGGAAACCAATTATTCAAGAATATTATGTCTCCCGTACGATTTATAAGTATACAAATAATTCAATCTTTAGTGCCGATTAGTATTGACAATATTAATAGCAAGTCACAGAACCGGTTTGAGAGCTCGCGAGAGTCGGACTCTTATCAATATCAATTGTAATTTCCAACAGAGCGTGAGAGTATAGATTTCCGTTGGGAACATATTGACATTGGCTTTCAGTCGCTATTAAAGTCTCAGCTTGGGAAGACGAACATTATTAAGTTCCCCAAGCGAACATAGAGCAATGTTATCGCCACAATTTCTAATTGTCAGCCTAATCGCAGGGCTAGAACTGCTTTCCCTGGCCGATGGTGATCCCATGATAGAGGTCTTCAGATGGAAACAAATGGACTTTTACAATCGCGGGGATGTACACCCGGTGTTGGGCGGCAGACGTGACAGGCCCAGCCACTCAGGTGAATTTAAAAAATTAAATATGTGTTTTCTAAACTTTCGCATAAATCTAATTTACTCATAGCTTATAATTATTGTGGCAACTTGAATATATTACATCGTTTATATGAAAAATGTTTTTACAATATTATAATTTTTTTTATTTACTTTGAAAATAATAGTAATAGTTTTTCCTCTGTTCAAATAGCCCCCGTTGTCTTTCCTGGGAGATATTCTCGTCAGAAGCGTGAGATTATGACCTCCCGCGACTCTCCGGTAGTAATAAAGAGCCGTGTTGACAGTGATGACCCCAATGCCCCCTACATTCCGTACAACAACGTGCCCATGGGCGTTACTCATTTCCGGGGACGACTCTTTGTCACGATGCCCCGCCGCCGGGTGGGCATCCCGTCCACCTTGAACTACATCGATGTGGCCAAGGAGGGATCAAACCCGAGCCCCAAGCTGCAGGCCTATCCCAACTTTGCGCTCAACCAGTTCAACGCGAGTGCGGAAAACATTGTGTCTGTCTATAGGACCTCGGTGGATGCCTGCCAGCGCCTCTGGTTCATCGACACTGGAATGCTGGAGTACCCAAGTGAGTTTACTACATTCGAATTTTCGTAGGGCTTTCGTTTTTCTGATTTTAAAAGTAGATTGCATAAGGAACTAGGTGATTTTTGGGGTACCATGATTTGTTTGAAGCTTGCGCCTTATCAATATTAAGGTCGATTCAACGCCAGCCTTTTTATTAACTTGAGAGCTCTTTGTAAGTGCTTTGATTAATTTTGTTGGTATATGAGCACGGATTCTTTTTACTATTTCGGTTCATATAGTTTTTAAAAATACTATAACAAATGAATAACAACTTTTGTTTTTAGATAACCGCCAACAGATTCGGCGTCCCAGCATTTGGGTAGTTGACCTGGCCACGGATCGAGTGCTGAAACGCTTTGACATTCCGCAGAGCATCGCGGAGACGGGTCGCGGCTTGGCCAGTATCACCGTCGATGTGAAAGCGGGTCAGTGCGGCGATGCCTACGCTTACATTCCGGATCTGGTGTACCGCCGACTGTACGTCTATCACCTGCGAGACGATCGGATGTGGGCCTTCGAGCACAACTACTTTAACTTCGATCCACTTTCGGGGGATCTAAGCATTGGCGGGCAGACCTTCCGCTGGGATGACGGCATCTTCTCGGTCACTTTGGGAGCCCATAAGCCAGATGGCAGCCGGGATGTCTACTTCCATCCCATGGCCAGCACGAATGAGTTTGTGGTGTCCACACGGGTTCTGCAGCAGGAGTCCAATGCAGCTCGCTCCGATCACGGCAACGATTTCCGGGTGCTAGGAAGCCGAGGGCCATCCACTCAATCGACTATGCATGGCTATGATCCCGGCACCGGAGTGATATTCTTCGCCGAAATCCAGAAAAACGGAGTGGGATGCTGGAGGCCAACCACGCCAATCTCCGCGAGAAACTATGGCTCTGTGGACTCCAATGCTATGGATATGATTTATCCCAGCGACTTGTCGGTGAGTAATAATTAATTCTTATAAATCATAGATCATAGGGATAATTTATAGTAGATACTAATTAATTTTTCTTATTTTAATAGATCGACGAGGACGGAACCATTTGGGTGATGTCCAACTCCATGCCCATCTTTATCTATTCCACGTTGGATACGAATATATACAATTTCCGGATCTGGAAACAAAAGGCTTCGCTGGCCAAGAGGGGAACAGTTTGTGAGTGATTTGTGTGGGATTACATTAAAGAATGTTTCACAAGTATGTTTTTTAGTTATAAGTGAATTGAAATTAGCCACTGAGCATATTTACATATAAAATAAAAAAAATTGGACTAAAACCTGAAAACTCTTTTTTTTACATTCCAAAAATAACGATTCCTTTTGCGAGAACATCTTAAATACAGACTCAACTCAAATACTATGAATATTGCTGTACAAAACGACCAAAAAATAAAAGAGTTTTATAAAAATCTTTTTAAAACAAGTAAGACAACATCTGAGTGAGATTCGCACTGCTCTTATCATTATATATATTTCACTTTCGAGCCACAGTTCAAATTGATCACCAGTCGCAAGTGGAATATCAACCTGAAAAGACGAACGACCGGAACATTGTACAGTTTTTATACAGTAACCCATATTTATAAATGTTATCTCCGAAGTTTCTGCTCCTCTGCACAATCGCTGGTTTGCAATTGCTAGCCTATGCAGATGGTGATCCCATGATAGAGGTTTTTAAATGGAAACAGATGGACTTCTACAATCGAGGGGATGGATACAAGGACTTGTGGAGTAGGCTTTGTATACCAGGTATTATAATTATCAAGCAAAAAAATATTAAACACTTGTGAATAACTTTTAAGTATAATGTTTAGAGGAACAATAAAAAAAATATTGCTCGGCGACTAACTTATTTGTGTCTAATATATAGGCATCGTTAAAAGTACATAGTTTATCAGGCACGTTAAAATTATTATAATAATAAATACGTAAACCTGTTTACCAAGATCCGCATGTTTCCAATTCACGTCCCACTTGCTTCGGCCCTTCCAATTCCGGTGGCACCCGTAATGGATCCTTCATTCAATACAACAATGTGCCCCAGGGTGTGACTCACTTCCGAGGACGTCTCTTTGTCACGACTCCTCGGCGCCAGGAGGGAGTCCCTTCCACCTTGAACTACATCGATCTGGCCAGGGATGGATGGAGCCAGAGTCCCAATCTTCGTGCCTATCCCAACTTTGAATTGAATCAGTATAATCTGAGTGTGGAGAATCTGGTGTCTGTCTATAGGACCACTGTGGATGCTTGCCAACGCCTTTGGTTCATCGATACTGGAATGCTGGAGTATCCTAGTGAGTATACATAATTTATGGGGCTCCATATATGAATTGATCACTTTAGATAACCGCCAACAAATCCGGCGTCCCAGCATTTGGGTTGTTGACTTGGCCACCGATCGAGTGCTGAAGCGTTTCGAGGTACCACAGAGCATCGTGGAGATTGGACGTGGACTAGCCAGCATCACCATCGATGTGGAATCGCGAAAGTGTGGTGATGCCTACGCCTACATTCCAGATTTGGTCAATCGCCTGTTGCACGTTTATAGCCTTCGAAACGATAGAATTTGGTCCTTCAAGCACAACTCCTTTGACTTTGATCCGCTTTCCGATGATCTGAACATTGGCGGGCAGACCTTCCGCTGGGATGACGGCATTTTCTCGACGACTTTCGGACCTTATCAGCCAGATGGCAGCCGGGATGTCTACTTTCATCCCATGGCCAGCACGAATGAGTTTGTGGTTTCCAACCGGGTTCTGCAGCAGGAGTCCAATGCAGCTCGCTCCGATCACGGCAACGATTTCCGGCTCCTCGGAAGCCGCGGTCCATCCACACAGTCCACGATGCACAAGTACGATCCGAACACCGGTGTGATCTTCTACGCCGAGGTCCAGAGGAGCGGTGTGGGCTGCTGGAAGACCAGCAAGCCGTTCTCAACGGAAAATCATGGATCTGTTTATTCCAATGCTACGGAAATGATTTACCCCAGTGACTTGACGGTAAGCTAAAGAAAAAAGAGGATAAGATTTCTTATTAGGAAACTTAAATTGCTTATTTGTATAGATTGACGAGGAGGGCACCATTTGGGTCATGTCCAACTCCATGCCCATCTTTGTATATTCGACGCTGGACAAAGAGAAGTACAACTTTCGAATCTGGAAGCAAGAGGCATCGCTGGCCAAGAGGGGAACAGTTTGCGAGTGATTTGTGTGGAATTGCTTTAATGAATGTTTCTCAAGGTCGTTACATCAGTAATAATAATATGTTTATCGAAATTACCCACTGAAACTTATATATAAAATAAATCAAAAAGCATTTACAAATGTACCGTTAAAAATTGCCTAAATTTGAGTACTCATTTTTATCACATCTTAAAAGTTACGACAGATGCTTTTGTCTTTTCGCACGAAACAAATGGAAACATGAAAGAAAACAACATCAATGAACAAAATCAGAGGCACTCCAATATTGCATAAGGATACTAAGTTGCACAGGTTTGTGTGATACGCGTGTATATGTTAACCTAAAATACTTGAATTTCATGTTGTAAATTTCTCATAACTTTTCCGCATCTAAACAAATTCGAGGTGTAAATTTGGTAACCCTTTTCAAAGTGTCAGCTATACAGTGGTGTATATAGATATATATATATGTTCGATTTGTATATATATGTATGAGTTCATATAAAATTTTGCAAAAATATATAGGTTGTTTTTGTATATGTTCCTCAACGCTACTCCTAAGTCCTTTAAGTAGTTTCGATCATAGTAAGTGTGGTGTGTAGTACGTAATATAGCGAAATGATTCTACCAGTTCTAGTTGACTATATAGGGGATCCGTTCATTGACCTATACGCGAAAATGGAATGATTACTGGCCGAGAGCTATTCGAAATAAATTCGCGTATAGCAACTTATTACAGTTACGAGTTATGTGTGGTTATATGGAATCGATCGTTATTGCTGGGGACTACTGCACTAAGTAATCCTTGTAGCCGCGCAGGGACTTCAGCTGCTTCTTCAACTTGGTTATCAAATCCGACGGTTGCACCAAAATGGATATGTCCCTGCCCACCGAGTTTAGGCGGTCGCGTATCTCCAGATCCTTGAAGAACAGATTCAGTGAACGACCATTGATCTCGGTCAGCATCCAGAAGGTTAGTGAGCTGCTATCGCACGATTGCGTCTGAAATGGTTGCCATTATTAGTATTAATCAAGCGAAAATCCATATCTTGTTTACTTACTTTGGGCGGAAGGCCATGTCGTGCGGCCAAGCTGTTTGGCACAACATCAACGATTGTCGAAGTGTTTCCATCCCGAATCAGTCCCAGACACTGACCCTCTCGGTCACGTCGAATGGCATAAGCCCGACCAAACGGAATGCGTCGGAGCAAGACCTCAACCTGGAAGAATTATAAAACAAATTAAATATTAAAATTTTCTTTGAATCGATTTGAAAGGTTTTTCTTACAAAAAGCGTATTGGTGTTCCTGATTATCTTATTGGCCTCGGCAGCACTGCTGATATTCACGCCTGCTATGGAGAGTAGCTGATCCCCGATATGAAGGGCATTGTATAGAACAGGATGCTCCTTTTGCTTCCAGCCAGCAATCCTGTAAGTAAAGTCAATTATTAAAAATCGTAACACGTACTCGAAAAATGCAAACTTGGGATTAGCCTACATACAATCTCTTTTAAGATGATCTGGAGTTCTTCCAAACTTACCAAACGCCTCCGAAGGCATCCACCCAGGCAATGGAGCCCACGCAATCCTTGCGCCTTAGATTCAATCGTACTCCACCCGGATGCATAATCTCCCGCCGCAACTGCATCACCTGCTGTTCCCGCAGGGTCAACCGCTTGTTGGGCGACTGCTGGGCGGGATTGGTGCTGGACGGAGGTGCTCCCTGTGGCGGTGGCTGCATGCGAAAGGCTCCGTTTCGGGATGGCGTAAACTCGTTATTGTTGGCGTTTCGTTGCGTTACCGGCTGTGGGATTCGTTGAAGCGGCGCCTGAGCATCGGAGGTGGACGAGCTGCGCCGGCGCTGCTCCTGGCTATCATCCGTTGTAGTTGAGATGCTGTTCCTTTGACCTGGTGTTACTTGGGCACTGGTTGAAGTGGAAGGCGGTTGCTGTTCAATGTTGTTATTCGCGACGCTCGTTGATTTACTAGTTGTCTTGGTTTTCAGCGGAGTGTTTAGCAGCTTTAGGTAGTGGAAATCCCTTCTGCTGGGTCGCGAACTAATCACCAGTTCGGTAAGTCCTCGTGTTAACTGCGGAGTCGGTCTTCCTGCTGCACTGGGAGTTACTGGCTGTGTAGTCGCCGGCGAAGCCAACCGGCGGCGTGGCAAGGCTGGACTTCCATTTACCACTGGCTGGACGGGATTAGTACTTGCCGCCCTTGTGGGACTGCTTCTGCTGGTGATGGGAATGCTGGAGGAGAGGAAGACCTTTTCGTAGTGCACATTTCCACTAATTATGGAGTCACTGCCCTGTTCACTGTTCACACTAATATTCGTAATACCCGAGGTGTTGGCACTGAGTATTATCTTCTTACTTAATCTCGGCGTCTGCGGCTTGGCAGGAGTAGTAGAAGAGGAGGCAGCGGAGGAGGTGGTTGCACTGCCTCCATGCGCTGGATAGCAGGTGCCGTAGACAGCCACCGTGGTGGTGGCCTCGCCGTCACCCAGCACCTTTACTTTCGTGGTGCCGGAAACCTGTGAACTCGCGTTATTCGAAACGCTTTGCTTAATAGGCGTTGTATAGGGTTTACTGTTGCTGGGCTGTTTGCCCAGGACTTGGATGGTACTGGTACTGCTACTGGCATTGGACGGAATGATTTGTACGTTGCTTTTATACTCGTGATGGGTCTGAGATGGCTGTTGCTTGGCATTCGTCTGGGTCTTGGACTTCACCTCTGGAAAATGAAACACCTCGGCTGTGGTGGTGTTCTTGGGCGGTAATTCGGGCGGCTGTTCCTGACCATTGTTACTGATGTTCGACACCTGGATGATTGTAATATTGTCCTGAGAATCCTCATTCTTCGCGACTGCGGTAGTGGAGGATTGTGTGTGGAGAGGTTTACGTGGCGGTCTCTTTGATTTGTCAGCCGCGCCAGCGGACATGGATCGTGATGTTTGCGGTCTACAATTAAAGTAGGGATTTTAATTAATTTAAAAATAAAGTATTTAAGTTTAAATTGAAGAAATAGTACAGACACGTCATAGTAGACTGCTTTTTAAAAGTCAAATTTGCTTGACATACATATCTGTATTCAATTTCATGAAACATGGCCAAAAGGTTCTCACTGACCGAAGAAAAGCTCGACGACCTTTTCGTGGAGGAGGTGGCCAGTGTAGTGAAGCTAGTTGGTCGGCTGCCGGCTAAAGATCAGATTGCGCCCATCTGCACAAGATGGCTACACATTTTCCAGCAGTCCACGCCAAAGGAAAGGTTTTCCCGCAACTATATGCTTCTGCTCCTTCACAAGCAACTGAACGAACAGAAAACTTTGACATATCCATTCACGAATCCCAAGACATCCCAGATGGATTTGCCCACTATCCACCAGATGAGCTTAAAGATGGATAACAAAACGGAGCACCAAAGCGGAGTGGGTGATGAGTGCAGATCTAATGAGAGCTTGGATGAGGAGGAATTGTCCTCTTTCAGTTCCTGCGAAAATTTAGAGGAGGCCAAACTTAGGTTGGTTGACGAAAATACAGAATTATCCAAGGAGTTGCAGGAGCTCCAGAGTACGTATAAAAAATTGCAGGTGAAGCGCGATAAGGGCGAGAAAGCCATTCAAATGCAAAGGGAACAGATTAATATGCTCGACAAGGAGAATCGCTACCTAAAGCGAATCTTCGCTTGCTCCTCGATCTACGCTCTAAAGCAGCTTTGCACCGGACAAGATCCGGCGTTGTTCTTCGACACCCTGTTCAATGTCCTCTGCGAAGAGGAAGCTGACTATCAGCAGGTGAAGCACTTCAATGAACACTTCAAGGCCCTGCTGCATGCCCATATTAATCACTTCCAGCGACAGCAGCGGGCTCCTTTGTTGGAGCAGGCTAGCAAAAGGTACGACAAGCTGCGATCGAAAGTGAGCAAGAGATACAAAAATGTGATGGCCCTGAAACTTGATGCCCAGGGCCAGGAGCTGACTCTGAGTGCCATGCGCTATCTGACCGTGCTGCGGAGACTATTCATCGCCACCTTCGAGGGCAAAGCAAACACTAAGAAGGCAGTCGTCAAGATACTTCAGCAGAGCTACGATCATATGAACGAGATGTTGTAGGAAACGAGTAGCTCACCTGGGAATCAGCCGCTCGCACTGCAGCATGTGCTCCAAATTCAGGATTTGATCTGCAATTTTAAAGATATATTTTGTAATGTTTAAGAATTATATATGCTTAGATGCTACTATTCTAACATCTTAGCAATTAGCTTAGCACAAAGTGATTCATGTTTTTCTTACCTGCTGAAGCACGCTGTGCAGTAGCTGCCACAACGTCCACTCGTACTCCGTTATCGGTAAGCACACAAGCCTTGCGCAGCAGGGGCGACAGATATTCATCGTCCGAGAGATTCAGATCAGCATCGCTGCCACACGGTTGCTCCTCTAGGACTCCCTCAGCTCCCGCTCCATCCTCCTGCCCAGAGCCTGGCTCCACTGACTCACTGATCTGCTCGCTGTAGGTGCTGATGGGATCGGAGAGCATGTTGAGGAGGTGCTGCGTCAAAGTGTTGGACATGGCAGCCGGAGCAGGGGCAGGAGGAGCGGGCGTGGTAGCCACAGGACTGGAGGGCTGCTCAGGAGGTGGTGGTGCTGACTGCGCCGGATGACTGGCGGCCACCACGCGCTCCACTCCCGGCACCAGAGCTGCCGGAACTGGAGGCGGCGGAGGCAGTGGCGATGTGGGATCCCTTGTGGGCAGCAACGGAGCGCGAACTTCAGGTAGCTTCGTGTAGAGGTTTTCGCGAGGCGAAAGAATCTTCATTTCGCGCAGCTTGGAGCGCAGCGTTTCCACCCACTCTTGCATAATCTCCCTGCGAAAAGCGAAAGTAAATTGTGAATGGTGCAATCTTAATTGGCGTTGCGTGCGGGGAGCTTTTGTTTATTACCAAGAGACGGCGTGGAAGCGCAACACCTCGTGGCTGAGCGTGACCACAAACTCAAACTCATGCGAGTTGGGGATGAGGGCATGGGAGATGTGGAGGGTTTCCCGCAGAGAAACGGCCCACTCGGGCAGATGTCCAGCTGCCTGACGTGGTTCCGCATAGCCCTCCAGTAGGGCCTCGGTATCGTCGTGGACGCAGAAAACCACCCAGCTGCACTCGGATTTCTGGTGATGAAAGATGAGAGATGTAGCAACCTCGTATGCAATGGAATTCCAATGTCCACTCACCTTGGGACCAACTGTCAAACGCTTGCCATCCGCCGTCAGCCGCTTGAGCCATGTATTCTTGTGTATTTCCCGGAACTGGGCACTTGTTCCCACACCACCTGCCACGCCCCCTCCTCCGCCAGGGGCCGTCGAGGGCAGTGGAGCAGGTGCACCACTCGCATTCCCGCTGGACGTTGCGGGTGCTGCCGTCGCCGCCGCCGCCATGTCCGCTTCCCAAGACTTCGGTGTAGTTTCCTGCCTGGGATGGGCTTCTTTTGCATGCCTTGGGCCTAATCTCACATTTCACTCGCTTCTCTTTGGGGGAACAACATGCATTTCCTTTTCTCACGGAATTCACGACGCCATTTTTTGTGATTAGTGTGACCGTTTAGATATATCAAGCATAAAATCGCAGTAGGGTGTCTTTGCCGGACTAGTGTCTTTGCTAGCCTAGAGGAGACATCCACCTAGCAGTTAGGCGCGACTGTTTGAATTCTTAAGATTTTTTAGTTCACTCCAGTTAAATGTTAAATTTACCAGCACCACTCAGATCTGATTTACAATGAAAAATGCGATAAGGGAAATATCTGCTTTAGTGCCCATTCAAAACCTTAAGTCCCATAAAAACACGACATTTTATTCTATAATAATACTTCTTTTTATTGAGATTTTTAAAATCATTTTTGATATTTTTTTGTTGGTTTTTTGTATCTTTATATCACACGTAACGTAAGTAATGTAGTAGATCTTTTAATGCTGTCTTAAGTCACTAACTCTAAGCTGATTGAAAAAATAGAAATTCATCTTTGTCTACATGCCGAAACGAGTTTTAACGATATTAACAAAAATTGATTTGGGATTTGTGAATCTGCCGGAAGGCAGACGTTTCAAAAGAATTTTTCACTTAAAATTATAGAACTATTTGTTATTGCAGCATTGGTTTTGTCTGTTATCCGTTCCATTAACACTAGATATACATATTTTTTGCATGCGTTTTTTTTTTTGTATAAAGAGGCGTTAAACATTAGTATCTCAATTCGTTTTAGTACACTAAATTACAATTGTAAATTACAAGTATTGCGAGAGTCAGAAGGGAAGTTAACAAGCGCTTCTCGTAACTTGGGCGTAGAACGTACAACGAGTTAACAATGGTGCAAAATTATGTTTAAAAAAACTAGTAAACACGTACATATATTCCACAAAATGGTCAACTTAAATCGAGTGTAGACAATGGGCGGGGACGTTAAATTAAATACAATTTAAACTACAATTAAAGTCTTTGAATAGAATTTCAATTTAACGACATGACAACTACAAATTCTGTTCGTTTCTTGGTTTGTTTCTAACACAATCGAGTCTTGTTTGTTGCTTACAGTTGCTTTAGCTGGAAATTGGCATAGTTTTTAGTTGTAGCTTTAGTTTTAGTTGCTTGTAAAAAGTCATTTGTTTTCGATTTTGTACGTTAATACCAAAGTTTTCACTAGCTTCAGCAAGCGCCTGCGTCTGCGTTCTTTCGGTTACATTTTGGGTTCGGAATTTCTGGGGCTCCGGGGAACCGAGTTCCTCGGCAAACAATTCGTGTTTTAACTCTAATTACAATGTACTGTGATGTACGTGGCATAGTTGTTAATTGTTATTTGTCTGTGTTCTTAATTTTTAGTTTAGTTTTTTTTCTTTTAAACATATTTTTATATTTCTGCAATGATTTGTGTTGGTTTTTTTTTGTTTTTATAATGATTTTTAAAAATATGATTCGTTTGCATTTCGGTCGCCAGCATTTGGAGTTGGCTAGTGTCCTTTAGTTGTTTTTTCCATCATTTTGGTATCTAGAAACTAGATAACTTTGAGCTACTTCCTCCGTATGCTCTAGCTGCTCAACTTGGTCAGGATATAAATCTCAATCTCATTGGCGGAATTTGTTAGTTGAGTCTTAGCAAAAAGGATCTTCAGTTTATCTAAGGGTTTGCGCGAATGAGGTCCACGTGTTATGGGTTCGGGGTGGTTTGTGATTCTGTGGCGGGCAGGGTATGAGCTGCCTTTATGAGGCAGGGAAATCCAAGACATGACTACGCGGAATAAACTCATCGGCCATTGGATTGAGAACAGACTTTTCCACATTACACTCGCTCTTTGGCAGTGCGGAAAGCGCCGTGTTCTGTTCGTCCGTTCTGTGGAAATCGGAATTTGTTAGATTCCCACTCATTATATTGGTTTTTCGGTGGTCACTACTCACTTGGCCTTCTCCCATTCGTTGATCTGCTCTTCCAGCTCATCCTCAATCATGGCTTCGAAACACTCCTGCATGATCTCCTCCTCCTCCAGGCGTTGCAGTTCCTATAGCCAGATAACCAGATTGCTTTATCAGTTAACCTTTCGAATACCTATAGCTTGTTTTAATCTTACGTTCTTGTCAAACTCCTCCTCGTTCTCCATCCACATGTATTCGGAGAAATCTGGCTCATCGTCGATGTCTGACAGCGACTCCTCGTCGTCCACAACGTAAATTATTTGATCCGTCCAATCCACAGATGGCACTTTTAACAACATGATATTTGCTGCAAGGAGATATGATTCGGATTACTTTAGCTAACTTAGAAGCAGTTGGTCTTATATGTTGAGATATCTTATTTAGACTTAGTTATACAATTGGACAAATAAAGAAAATATGTTCCAAGTGGTTAATACCATCTTATTCTTAAGTGCCACGGATGTATTTAACTATTAGGCAATTGATTGATTAAAACTTATTTGAAAAAACTTTAATTACCACATAATCTCAGCAGTTTCAGAGTTCTAATGAGTTTTTGAAGATTTTTTCAACGCCTACTCTGCTTGAAATGTATTATCAATTTTTTTTAAATTGTGTGATCAATATAAACGGCAGTTTAAGTTAAATATAGTGTAGATTCTATAGAACCTCGTCTTATCATATAATTATTTATAATGTTATAGCGTTATAACAAAGCAGTTATACAAATACATGTTTTATAGTTTCTTTGAGGTAGGAAATCAAATAATTAGCATTATAATAAATTCATATCTAAAGTAGTTTAGATTAACCCAGCCAAGATCTTCTGTATTTGAATTTATAATCATATTTCACCGGCATGAAGCCGCCTACCAGTTGTGTTTTTGTTCTAAAAAAACCGGTTTTCCGACAATCTGACGAGATAAACAAAACAAAAATCGCACCTATACAGGTAAAGTGTGTTACACTAATACCTATTTGTTTATATAAATAAGCGAACATTTTCTCTTTTCTTTTTGCGCAACGTTTTTTTGTTTATAAGCGAGCGATGTCTATTTTTTGCGTTGTGGCCGCGGCACACAAAAATTTGAAAACAAAATGACTCAGCTTTTAGTGCAAGAGCGAAAAGAGCCCCAAATAAGTGGCCACATTTGTATACTATATATGTACTTCAAAAATGTGTGCATATATGTACATATATTACGCCGATTTTATTACTCGTATCATTCTAGCTCCGTTAAACATTTTATGGCGTATATAAATGCCGTTATCAGGTAAAACAAAAAGAAACAAACGAGCAAACGTGTGAAATAACACGAATGTCAAAAGTGGGAATTTATGCAAAAACGCAATAAGCCAAAGGCGATGATCGTCATCGGTCAAAACTAGGGGTTCACGGTCGTAACTATCAAGGTGGGCGTTGCTGTGCTTGCGATTTTACATTTTTTATAGATTTATTATAATTGGCAATTAAAGAATGCATTTAATACTCTTTAATAAAAAAATGAAATTAAATATGTATTAAAGTTCACGTTCAAAACGTAGTTTTGATAATGCAACTTAAAAACATCTTATTTCAAAGGTAATTAAAATACACTAATTAAATGTTTTATTTTTTTGTATTTATTTATTACATTTATAGGCTGGGAGTACCTATTAATCTTCCCGCCACTGTGCTGCCATTTGTTTACTGTTTCTTTAAGTTTGTGTGGGTTTTGTTATTTATTATATTTATAGACCAGGCGTACCTATTAATTTTCCCGCCACTGTGCTGCCATTTGTTTACTGTTTCTTTAAGTTTGTGTGGGTGTTTGTTCGACCTGCGATTTGATTACAGTCGATTATACATAGCTCTTTTCATTGGCTTTGGCAAGTCTTATCACACTATCAATAAGTGGAATTTTTTTTCGCTTCCTCAACTTGTTTACTTAATTATTTATAGAAATCAGCTGGTATTTATCAGCAAAGCAAAACACTTGCAAAACGAAAACAAAACTGAGCTGGCAACTCTGGCCTCTTGTTGGTGTACGTGCCGCCGCACACAAACACAAGCACAAAAAGCCCATCGAATTGCAAGTAGAAGTTAAGTTAAGCGGCCATATTTCAAATGAAATTGCGAAAATTAAAATGTATTTACACGGCGAACTCGACGAATTTCATGCATGCATTAAGTAAATATGCATAAAACACAAAGGAGGTAAACAATCACACACACAAACACACAGCTGGCTTTTCAAGTGCACCGGTGTTGGTGTGCCCGATTGAATGAACCTCCCTCAACCCAAAAACAAGAAAGAAATAAACAAATACAGCAGCGGCAATGATAATACAACACCAGGTATTATTCAAGGTAACAAGTGTTTAAAGTTTAAGCATTAATATTCTTGGGGTTCGTGTACTTGGAGTCGTCTAGCCTACGCACACGTACACCGGAAAAAAAGAAAAAGGGGCTCAGGTAAAAATTATGCAGTTACATTTTGCATAATTCTAAAACAACGTACTTGACAATAATTACTTTAAATACTATCGTTAATTGAATATATATGAGCTTGGTTTATGTGAGATGATATAGCTAATACGATGTTATTCAGGATATTAATCAGGTAGCAAACATTCAAGTGTTTTTGTATATCTTGATTATATTTCCTCATCCTTATGATAAACTAAAATTTGGGTACGAGCCTAGAAATAGTATTGAACTCAAGAATTTAATACCTAGTTTTAGTTCGTCATGAGGATGCAAAAATAGTCCTAAGAACTGTGAATTATTCTAAAAATTGTATTCTAACGAATTTATCTACTTAACATTGTAAAATCGTAAATTTTTTAAATCACTTTAAGTTTTCTCAAGTGTTAGTACGGGGACGACAAGTTAATGGCCGATCCGACACTTGGCCTTTATTGATTTGTCAAGCGGTTTTAAGTGAGCGTTTAAGTGTTTTGGCGGAAGCGCCAAAAGGCAAATGAAAAACCAGGAAGCCAAGTTCTCTGACTTCCGCCTTTCCCCGCGCTCGTGTGGGATTATTTAATTTGTAAGATCACTTTTTTCCCCATGCGATCCCTTCGATCTACACATCTACTCACTTCCAATCCCGTCGAGAAGCCTGGGCGATTTCAACTTGGTTATTTTGGAGCCACTTCCTCCGGACGACTTGTTGTTATTATCGGTGATGGTGGTATTTGTTGTTATGTTGTTAATAAGGCCTTTCGTTTTTGTCTTGCACTGAGAATTTTGCGTCGTTAGAAAAGCGGGAAAAACACTGGCAATTTAGTGTTGCATCCAATCCAGATAGAATCCACACGGAGAATTTTGATATATCTATTGCGAAACGTATTCGAGTATGTGCTGTGTGCGGATACACGTCCGAATTGAACGATTTGAACGAATTGAAAAAATTGAAATGATTAATAAAGCAAGTGGGGTAGGGGTGGAGAAACATCGTTGGCACTATCGATGCATCGATACTTGCCTATCGATATTTCCCATCCTCAGAGGAAAAGCTGCACAAGAGCATACTGGACCAGGATCTTAAAAATATCCTTAAATATGTACATTTTAAATATATTACAGGTTTACCTTATCACGGTTCCTGCCTCTGCTAATTCAGCCGCGACTCGAACCCAAAACGAGGGCTGCCAAAATTATCCGTTAAAACATACAGCTATCGATGGACTTCCAAGTGATCGCGGTGCACCTTCGACCACCAATAAATGTTTGATTTAACGCATATTTTGTCCAATAGCTATGATTTTTGAACAACAATACGGAAAGTATCTGATTAAGAAATAAGTGCTAGCCTGTTCTGTGCAAGTCTAAAACTATCGATAGACCTTATCAAAGCTTTCAATAAGGATATCTTCGCGCATTTTTCAAAGTTAGGATACTTAATCGTTACAATATTTAATACAAGTTTATTTTAATTTAAAAAAAATTTGTAACTTTCAATTCTTTCAAAGTAAAATCCAATAAAACATAGATATACAATCATAATGTTAACTACAGATTTCTTTTGCCGGTGTAGACCTTGTTTTCTCCTTTTCGCTGCGAGGATCCCAGGTTTGTAGATTTGTGCTACTGCAGAACCCAAATACTAACATAGCCATCGTATTGAATGCTATCAGCGTTAACAGCACCGAGTTCCATTCCTTTTTACTACCCTATGAGATAAATAGAACCATTAAATTATAATGCCAAATATTAATTTTCCTGATCTTACAGTGTGCACCAAAGCGGCGACTAGATGGGGCGCCAGGAATCCGGAGAGATGGGCCATTCCATTGGCCAATCCTGAAAGTAATCCCGCGAAAGAGGGCGCGAAGTAGAGCAGCGTGGGCCAATATCCACTGAAACCCATATCCGTAGAGGCCATCAAGAAAGCAAACATCAACAGGACCAGTATTTTGTCTGCACAATCAGCCAGGATGATGATCCAAATCAAAGACGATGTCAGAATACTGCCTGTTTTTAAATAGTATTATTAAGTTCATATAAGATATACGGGGTGCTATGGATATCTGTAGAGGTTGGAAACCATAATATATAGAGGTAATTTAAAACCTCTGTTCATATCTGTGGCACCCTTGATAATCAGTTAATCTTACAGATTCCGTAGAGCATTTTTCGCATGCGGTTCTGATCGGGACCCACTCGTCTTTCTACGTAGGTGCCACCCAGGATGCACACTGCTTTAGAAAAGATCCCGCCCAGATACGGAGCGGCCGAAAGGAAGCCCACCTCACGCAGGTCGAATTCCATGGCCTCACGCATAAATCGCGGCATCAGAAGACTTATAATCAGAAAGGTGTAGTTGTGGAACATGTGGGTCAGGACGAAGGCATATGCGGATGGAGCCGTTAACAGCTTCTTCCAGGGAATCCTCAGAACCTATAAAGAGAGATAAAAAGTAGGTAAAAAATCTTAAATGGCTTAAAATGTTATAAAAAACCAAATCAAAATATGAAACACTCACCTGTTGTTCCTCAAGTCCCAAATGGCTTCTTCCTTGCATCAGATAATCCACCTCCAAATCCGAGATGCGAGGATGCTCCTCAATGGTGTCGTACATGAGAAAGCAACAGGCGATGCCGAAGAAGAGAGAAACCCCGCCGACGACATAGAAGGACAACTCCCAGCCAAAGCTGCTCAGGTAACTGGCCACCGGGTAAACCAACATGGATCCCATTAGAATACCACTATAGGCGAAGGACAGGAGCGCGGTTCGCTCTGTGGGATGAGCCCAGGTGACAAAAAGCTTGTACATTGCAGGATTTCCACAGCCCTGTGAGAATTAGAAATAACTTTAGTGGTATTGGCCTGTATTTGATTTATATTTATTCTCACCGCTAGCAAGCCGCATATGACGAGATCAATAACCGCCGTCTCGAAACTGAAATGGGCCATCAGAGGGAGCAGGATATAGGCGATAGCTTCGAGGACAAGCGACACTATGAACAAAATCTTGCTGCTGCACCGATCTGCCAGATAGCCGGACAACGAGATGGAAACCACATAGCCATAGTAATATACTCCCGGAAAAGTCAGTTCTTGCTTTCGGGTCCATGGTAAGTCTCCCGACTGCAAAAATGTTATAAGACTGAAATATTACAAAAAGGTATTAAAGAATTTAAAACGCTTATTGTTTAGAATTAAAATAAACTTAATATTAAAAGCTCATTGAAAAATCATTGGCTTAGTATTAACAACCAACCGCACAATTTACATAGTAAATCAATTAAGTTCTATATTTTTGTATCCAAGAAAATTTTTAATAAAATAACAAGAAGTTTTAGAAGTATCATCGCTCAGTAATATTTCAACAATTTAAATTTTTTGCATAACTCACTCATTGATTAACTAATTTGTGTCTTGTTTGATTTAAGCTCTTCGATGGCTGTTAATCACTATCATCATTATCAACACTTTGTAATATTCTTTCTGATATCACTAAAACCTGTCTTTCTGTTGATTGAGATTTTTTATATCCCTTATGCACTATAGTAATTTGCATTTCATTTGTAGATTTAGATTTGTAAAGGTAAATCGACCTGCCTGAGTTTCTTGGATCAGTGGGTAGAGAACTATCCGAGGAGATCCGCAGTGCCCTGTAGAGGTGATGTTGATCTCATTCATTCGAGCCATCTCCGGCGGATTATCCAGTTCATCATCGGGTCGTGGCATAACCATTTTGAGGATGATCATGCCCAGCATGTTCCGCATGGCGGCATGGAGACAAGTGGACAAGAAGGCGCATATTGCGTAGGTCAACCGCACGGATCCCAGGAGTCCGTGGGTGGACGCACTTGATTGTGAGAGGCGTGGCAGCGTCCACGACTGGCTGCTCATGGTGCCAAAATATTTAAAAAAAACTTATTCAAACATATATACGAAACACTAATTGAGTATTTGGAAGAAAACCTAAACCAAGCGTAACCCGAGCTATGGAGCGACTGATTGGCATTTCGTCGGCGGTGCAACTGGGAATGCCTGCTGATCGGTTGGTTACAACGATGTTACAACGCGAAATTATTTGCCATTTGTCACGATTTGGCGGCTAGTTTATCGTCGCCCTCTCGCCGAAACATGGAGAATTTATCTGGCAACTGTAAACCAGAAAGCAACACATGTAAAACGGACAGTGGCGATAAGAATTCGATACTAAACCCAAGCTTAGAAAGCTTTGCCGTATTCTTACCTTTCTTATTTGATCTCAAAGCCTAAAAGCTCAGATCTAAAGAGTTATAATGCAAGTTGAAGTCTAAAAATCGGATATATTTAAATCATTATGTTCGTGGTTTAAGAAACCATTGGAATTTTTTTAAGCTCTTAGTTTTAACCTATCTGTAAACCACTTTTCTAGGGTCCCAAAAGAAGGATGTCTTGATATAGAAAATAATTATTTCTATTAATATTCTATAGTCAATTATTAATCCGTTCCATTCTTTTCCATTTAATTTTAGGCCGTCTCAAGGATTCTACTTGGTCAATACATATTTGAGGTGGTAGGAAGAATAAAAGGAAAGGTAAACAACAAAAATGTGAGAGTGAAAGCAATTCCTAAAAAAAATGGTAAACAATAATGTGTGGGTGTATTGTGAACGGCAGGTCGGAAAACGTTTTTCACGTTCCGATTTGTGCAATCAACTGAGCTGCACTTTGTGGGCAGAAAGGATAGCCGGTTGTGCAGTCGGGTCAAAGTGCACGCTTTGACCAGTCCAGTCCTGACAGCCAATTGGCTTTCGCATGGCCCATGTCAGCCATGTCTTACCCCATAAACTGGGATTCACACACGTGGGAGCTCAAATTGCTACACTAAAAATAAAGGGTAAGGTTATTAGCTACTGTATTTCTATTATAAATTAAACTATAATTTACCTAATATGTTAGAAACACAATTATTATTAGGCAAAAGTCTCTCTATTTTAAAATTCACTTTGTAATTTAGCGGCATTTTTGAAATAGCTGCCTAACTAATCTGCAAAACCCCACAAGTAGGTGAATTTAATTCACAGCAAAGTTCTTAATTACTTTCTATTTCATTCCATTGAACGGGGAAATACTCGATCTTTTAAACATTTTGATGTATTAATTTACTAATAGGTATTAAAGCGATATTATTGCCCTTCTGGGCTGTCGAATAAGTGCGCCGATTAGTGATATATTGGGCATTATTTTTGTCCCTTATCCATAAATCCATAAATGCATTTGCAGACAACGGCATGCACTTTGCTTATCTATTTGGGTGCATCGCTCAGTCTCATAGTGCCGTGTTCTATTTTTCGCCTCACCTGCACTATGTTTCGATTAAAATTTTGAATTTTTTATGAGCCGCACATGTTAGTTGTCGTTATTTCTGTTTCAGTTTCTGTTTCTGTTTCCGCTTCTGTTTTTGTTTTTGTGATGTTCCGCTGTTAGCTCATTTGGCATGCATATGGGAATGTGGGTGAGTGGATGGGACATCAGAGGTACTGGGGGTCCTGGGTCCCAGGACCTAGGACATTTTATATATTTACAGACTTTTTGATTGATTTTTTATTTATAAGCCGCATATGTCGCCCCATTCGGGTGACTAAACGTCGCGTCCTCCAATTTCCCACTTTCCTCTTTTCGGGAAATACCTTGCTCTGGTATTCCTATGTATATTTATATTTGCTGTGAGCGCATATGTCGGCATCGAATCTCGAGGGCAATGCATTGTTTGCATTTGCATAGCCACCAACATGTTACCATATTCGCCTGTGACTCCACCGTTAGCGTTACCTTGTCCTGGTCGCGTGTCCTGGCCAGCAAAACACTTTGTTTTCAGTCCAAAAATAGCCCTTTTGGCCGCCAGGGAGTCCACTTTTTAGCCAGCGAGCGGGAAAATCCAAACGATTTCCATACTTACATTCTTTGGGTCGTAAAAA